TACTTCTTCAGGAAGTTATGCTCCACCCGCTGGGCTCCCCCTGCCCCCAGAGCTTATTTGCTTACTATCCATCCCCCTGCTAGGCTCTAAATTCCTTGAGACTTGGCCAGTGTCAGTCTCCTCTCTTGTGCCCTGGTTACAGGGCCTGTCAAATAGTAAGAATTCAGTACAGTGAATAATGAATGACTGAGTTTCTAATAGGAGAAGAAAAGCAGTGCTCCTGAGGCGGGAAGCGCTGAATGGGCTGGCCTGGGGTCAGGTGCAGGCTGGAGTTTAGAATTAGTAGCAGGGACTGTATTGTGCAGGCTGACTCCTGACAGAGTTGGGGAGAGACCAGCTCCCTAACCTGGAGCCATAAGGAAGTATGGACTTCAAACCCAGACAGTGGGAAGTCCTGGCAGAGTTCTAAGGAAGGAAGTAACATGATTAGCTTTGTATTTAGAAAGCTGACCCTGGGGCATTTAATCATTTAAGAATGCTTGCAAAATGACCAGAAGGAAGAGAGCTCTTGAGGGCTCTAGCTAAGGCAGATTGGACAGGCAAGGGGATGGCTACCAGCAACTCCCGGGCCTGGTGATGAGTGACTCCTGTGGATGTGCATGCCAGTGACCAGAAAAGGACTGAAACAGGAGAGGATTTTACATGGGGACCTGTTGAGTTTTCCCTGGAGTGTAAGGCTGTTTGAGTTTGGAGTTCAAGTATGTAGCGTTTTCGGCTAGAAATATGGCTCTTGGTCACTCAGTACAAAAGATGAAAATGCATAAAAGTTGATTCCCAGGAAAAGCATGTGGAGGCAGGAAAGAGGGAGCACTGACGGTGAAATCCTAGAACTTGCCAGAGCCAAGAATTCTCCGCAAGAAGGGAAGCGCTAGACTCAGCTGCGTGGTCTTGTAAGCTGGGGGTGAAAGCGCACTGGATGCGAGGGTAAGCGGGTTCTGCACACCAGTATAGGCTAGTATTTAACAAAACTAAAATTACTCCTTAAATAACACAAAACTTTGACTGTTTTAGATTTCTTTTTTTCATAGTTTTAAATATCAAAGCATTGAATTAGATGGTTTTTCAAGCCCATTTGCACTATATGTTTGACTCTGTTGTGCTTCTGTAAATCTATCTTTTTCTTAGGATCAGGACTCTTTCACAGATTTACTGGCTGTATCATACTCTTCACTACCTAAGACTGCTTCATATATACACTATCATAATATTGAGATATATGCAAGGATTTTTTAGTATTTTATGGATTAAAATACAAAAATAGAACAATATAATGAAACACCATTTACCCATTGCTCACCTTCAGTATTTTAAATTCTTTTTTGACCACTCCTCATTCTTCCATTAAAAAAAAATTGTGGAATGTTTTAAAGCAAATCCAATATATAATTTCACCTGTAAATATTTCACTGTGAATATCTAACTTTTTAGACAACACAATGGGAAATGTAAATATTACCACAGAATTAGCAATTCTTAAGTATCATCCCAATTCTCAGTGGGCTTTGTTGTTTTTAACATAACCACAGTGCACATAATGCCTTGGAATTAACAGTGACCTGCAGGAAAATTCATTGCCATTTTATATTTGTGAGAACGAGACTGAGAGGTTGAGTGAGGGGGCCTGACCACCTGCCAGTCCCTCCTAGCTTCCACCCCATGACAAAATGGTAACCAGGTGCAGATTAAAGACATTATTTTTTGTATATTACAACATCCAGAGGAAGAGAAGGTGTTTCTTTCGAGTAAGGGTACTTTTTCCCCAGATGCTCTGAACAAATGTATCTCCCTTTATATCTCACTATCCCCATTGGTTTTGCAGCCAATCCTGTTGCCAGGGAAATTCTGCGTGCTGATTGGCTGTGGCCCGGGCTACCTGAGCAATCACTGCGGCAAGGGTGGTGAACCGGGATAGAGTTGAAATAGGGAGCATCTCTGGAGCTGGGAATGTCAGTCCATTCCTGACACCTACTCCTGTAGATGCCACAGTGGGAGAAGGTTAGAGCACAGTGAGAGGACAATGTCCACAACAATGTCTTTCAGTCACCCA